TGCACATAAAAATGCCCTTCCAATTTCCATATTTTATTAAAATTGAAATATTTTTTTAATCAAATAATTGAAAAAACACTTTTAATAATTTTGAGGAAAAAACTGGAGTAACTAAACATCTTTGCCAAAATTTAATCAGTACACAGTCCCTATATACTGCCACTCAATAGAAAAAACAATGTAAGTGCTTCACAGTTAGAATTCAAGTGGCCTGACAACTATTTTCTTTCTATTGTAATGCTATGAAAGCTAAAATAGAATTTTAAAAAACAGATAAAACAAAAAGTATTTTTAAAAAAAAAAAGTTTATAGAACAGGTAGCTTATCATACGAAAATGCCAAATAAATAAAAATCTCAATTTTGAATGTTTTGTTGTTTGCATTGAATTTTCTATTATACGGCAGTATAGGTGTTGCATTAAGAAAGAATTTTCAAAAAAGTATGGAGTTCTGTAATAATTGCAGGGTTCGTGATTTTTGTTGATTTTTTTTAAAAAAAAAATCAGATTTTTTTTATTTTTATACAAATACACTGTAAGAACTTTAATTTACGATTTAAAAAACTTTATAAATGTTTAATTAAATTAATATTAAAACTATATTATAACAATATGTTAGAAGCTCTAACTTACTAAAATAATTTTTAATTATAATACATAGCTTTGAATGCGTAGCAACCATTTTGAAACAAATGCATGATTGAAATTTAAAGACTAGATGAAATAGAGAATTTAAAGAATACTTCAGGGGTCTGTCAGGGTTTTTCTGAGAGGTACCTATTTCGTGAAAATTTAGACATAATTTGTGAAAATTATATTAAAAAATTAACACAAATATGGTAAAAATTTGGATTTATTGTTTCTTATGAGACACAAAGAAAAAAGTATTTTGTGAAATTATTCTACTGTTTTTCCTAAAGTTGAATTTGTGAAGGTACAGCGAAACGGTAATAAATTTGGCTTGGACAGACCCCTGTACTTTAACTATTAAAAGAAAGTTTCAATTAGCAAACCATAATTTTAATTTAAAATTGTGATTTCTTTTTTTTTCTCTTGATTTTTAAAATGACAAAATAAATGTAACAGATTGTGTTTATAAATGTAGTCATTCATCTAAAAATAAATAAATATTTAATCTATATATTTTTATATTAAAATACTCATTTTTAATTCAGTATCAGAATAGATAAGTTAAGCTAAAAAAAATTTTTTTTTTAAATCTATGAACTTATTGGAATTTTTTTTCAAAATTTCTTTATAGAAAATCAGATAACGTCAAAGATACTGAAAACATATTATGAGAAAAAAATACCAGTAAATAACCCTACTGCTTCAAATAGACTTTGAAAGGGAAGAATGACACTATATCAGGAAAAAAATATCTGAATTCATCAGCTTTTTTTTCTCCTTATTTTTGGCATATTAGGATAATTTTTTTAAATATAACCTCAAGCTTCAGAAATACATTTTCCACCAATGAAATATAATGTAGATTTTAATTCCACTCTTTTTCATTCAAAAAGTAGAATTTTAAATAACATTATTTGCATTATTTTTTGAAAAAAATTTATGTTTATAAATTACTTTCTGCAGCTATAGAAGTCTATATTAAGACATCATTAAATGTTTACTTTAATCTGTACTTTCAATCTCAAGAATCAAAAGATTTTTAAAAATGGAATTTCAAATGTGTTGGAATTTAACACACACCAAGAAAGAAATTTCTTTAACTAAAATTAATTAATGCAGCAATTTATTTAAAATAAATTTTAAAACTAAAAAAAAGAAAATAATAAAAACATCAATAATTTCAAACACTGTTTTTTAACTTTTAAAATCTATATACATATATATACAAGGTCCGGCTATTAATTTCCAGGACTGACGTAACTGTAGGAGAAAGAAAAGCCGGAAGATGGCGCTAATGATTGCATATTGAAGAGTGTTCTCATGTGCAGTGCAATCGGCGCCATTCTGAAGTGAATGGTTCTCGTGGAAAAGCGCATTAAAACGGAGCTCTTAAATTCCTGTTGTCGAAGTGAAATGGAGCAAAGAATTAACATTAAATTTTGCTTCAAATTGGGCAAGACAGCTGCAGAAACCTACAAATTGTTAAAACAAGTTTACGGCAAGGAAGCATTATCTCGCTCAAGAACTTTTGAATGGTTTAAACGCTTTCGAACGCGAAAGCGTGGAAGATGATCCGCACACAGTTCGTACGCAAGCCGAAAGCAATTGAAAAAGTTCGCGTCCATGCATTGCGTTTGCCTGTGAGGCGATTCTTAGCTCAGCAAGGTGTCGTTGAGTCGCAGCATCCACCATACTCGCCAGACCTAGCACATACTTTTTCCTGTTTCTTAAGCAGAAAAATTCACTGAAGGGAACAAGATTTCAGGATGTCGAAGCCTTCACGAAAACTGTAACGTTACAGTTTTCGTGAAGGCTTCGACATCCTGAAATCTTGTTCCCTTCAGTGAATTTTTCTGCTTAAGAAACAGGAAAAAGTATGTGCTAGGTCTGGCGAGTATGGTGGATGCTGCGACTCAACGACACCTTGCTGAGCTAAGAATCGCCTCACAGGCAAACGCAATGCATGGACGCGAACTTTTTCAATTGCTTTCGGCTTGCGTACGAACTGTGTGCGGATCATCTTCCACGCTTTCGCGTTCGAAAGCGTTTAAACCATTCAAAAGTTCTTGAGCGAGATAATGCTTCCTTGCCGTAAACTTGTTTTAACAATTTGTAGGTTTCTGCAGCTGTCTTGCCCAATTTGAAGCAAAATTTAATGTTAATTCTTTGCTCCATTTCACTTCGACAACAGGAATTTAAGAGCTCCGTTTTAATGCGCTTTTCCACGAGAACCATTCACTTCAGAATGGCGCCGATTGCACTGCACATGCGCAAGAGAACACTCTTCAATATGCAATCATTAGCGCCATCTTCCGGCTTTTCTTTCTCCTACAGTTACGTCAGTCCTGGAAATTAATAGCCGGACCTTGTAAAAAAATTAGTTGATTTAAATCAAAGATTTTTTTTTAAAAATCATCTGATTTAAATCAACAAACCCTGAATAATTGGTATCAATTTTTCATTTTACAAAAATAAAATAATAAAAATTATAAAATTACAGAGATGTCCAAGCCAGGGGCTGAACTACATTACTGAGTGGAATAAATCAATCGTCATTTGCACTATTCATAATGGACGACAATTTATATTCACATCCTTATAGAAACATATTTCTATTGGCTGTTATTCCTATTGATTGATTAACAGTGGACAGGATAAGTGAATTGATGGCAGTATAGACATCTATGTACACAAGAAATTGTACAATGTACACAAGGCTAGTATTTAAACACATGTACGATAAGTTGAATATAGAATGCCCTGTATAACGTGTAGTAAGCAACAACAAAAAAAAGAACATCTAAAGAACTTATTTTTTTCTTTCACGAAAACCGTAATCGGATTTTCTAACCTACCTTTGATCATTAAATAAAAAGTTATACAGAAAGTTTCCTTTTCTATTGTACACTGTACAGTGTGGAAAAAAGGACCAACCTGAATAACTTTTGATTTAAAGATCAGATCTTCATGTTCTAGGACTCAATCTTAATGTCTCAAGGGGGTGACCTCAAAAAAGCTAAATAATAAGTGCAGATGATATTTTAAGTTACGAAATCAGACACAAAAACATACTTTCTCTGAATAAACACATCTTTTTTTCCGATGGATTCAGATTTCTGACCGTCAAATTATAGGATGTGACCACAATCTAAAAAATATGGTTCCAATAGTTTGGTCCGTAGAGTTGTCCAAAGTTTTGATCCCTTAATGTTAATTTTACTTTTTGCATATTTCGTTATATCTCGAAAACTTTTTAAGCGAACTGAAAATTTTTTGCACACAATTATAAAATTCGTATTGACCTTTTAAAAAAACCTTTATTTAATATTTATTATTTCATTTAATAATGGTCAAAAAATTAAGTATACAGTATTTTGCATCCTCTTAAAGAACATAATTTTACACAGCAAAATTGGTTGAATAATTCATTGGAAATAGAATTCCAAAAAAAGTCAGATATTTTAAATTCGATTTCTTAAGAACTACTCGACAGATTTTGCTCAGATTCTGTATTTTGTAATGTAAAATTATATTTTTTAAAATGATGCAAAAAACTGTTCAGCTTACAATTCAAAATTTTTTTGGCCATCATTAAATAAAATACTAATAAATATTTAATGAAGGTTATTTTTTTGCATGGAATTCGTTGGATAAATAAAAGTAATATATGTGTGAAATGTTTTTAAATTGTATTAAAAAATTCTTGAGATATAACGAAATACATAAAATCAACTTTAAGGCGTTCAAACTCTGGAGCACTCTTCTGACTAAACTATTGGGACTATATTTTTGGGGTCAGAAATCTGAATCAGTCAAAAAAAAAAAACTTTGTTTTGATATAAATATGCCTCCTTTTTATTTATAGAACATATGTTTGACGTTGTTAAATAATAATAGTGTTCATGCAAAGCATTTTTAGAAGGACTTTGGACTTCTCCTGAACAAACTTTCTGGATCCTATTTTCAAGATTGTGGCTACCCCCTATATTTTGGGGATCAGAAATCCGTCGGAAAAAAGGAAGGTTTATTCAGAGAAAGTACATTTTTGTGTCCGATTTCATCATTTAAAATATTATCTGCACTTAATAATTAGATTATTTGAGGTCCCCCCCTCGAGCCATTAAGACTGAGTCCTAGAACATGAAGCATAAGATCACAAGTTATACAGGGTGGTCCATTTTTTTTTTTTTTTGCCCACTGTACATCTCTTTAAATTTTTTAAGTTTATGCGATGTGTTGCTTACTCAACAAAATGTATATAAAATGCACTTTGTAATTCTGTAAAATAAATATTACCCGACAGGCATAGAATAATTGAGCCAATAATGTAGTGAATAGAAAAAATATCAAACAATGTACAGAGATTAAGTATAACGTGAAAAAAAACATTTTATTCTGACTATTTTACACATACAGAAGATTTCCTATGAAGTGACATCAAGATTAATTATGCGTAATAAATAAGTGTTGGAAACATTCTACTAAGATAAATAAATGCTATAACGGATATTTGAAGTGAAACACAGTTACGATTTGGCACAAACACTGGATTATAGATGCAATACACATTTAAAAAAAACGAAGAGGAATGAAACTATGATCTTCTTCTTGTGATTTTATCTAAAATAAATATTAAAAAAATTTAAAAACTGCGCATTTGATTAATGTATAATTTATTTAAATAGAATTATTATACTTAATTTAAATTAAACATAAGTTATAATTTAAATCAGTCATCAAAGATGTGACCCTATCAGAATGAAAAATACTGAAATGGCATAGAGAGTTCAATTTGTCAGCATATTTTGAGATAATAATGCACAATTACCCAAACAAATACTAAAAGCACTGCTCAAAAATACTGAAAAATTATTTAAATGTTAATGTGATATATTTCCTTTGCAATAGTGAGTTTAAATATTACAATCATAATTAAGCTTATATAAATGTATACTTCTACTAGAAATATGGTGAGGATTATTTTCACAAAATTCAGTTATGTTTTTCATAAAAATCAAAATTCCAAAAATTAGACCCTGGTGAAAAAAAAATCCTTGAATTACAATAAATTCATAAAATGTTTTAGAATATATTTATATACTACTAACCTCAATCGTCCAGTTTTCTTTTTGGCTTCTTAGGATTGCGTGAACGACTTTTAGCCTTACAAAGAGGACAAATGGGAGCATTACGATGGATTTGTTGATGGCATGACAAACAAGACTGAAAAAAAGAAAAAACATTATCCCAATAAATTTAAAGTCATAAAAATATCTATAATGACATATAAATTAAACAGTCATTTAACCTTTAAATCAGAATATTAGATTAAAAATAACCAAATATTATTTAGGAGATGTTTTTTCTCCTCCCTCTCCTTTTTGTACAAATCTACTGCACTTAAAAACTTTCTAAATTGTACAGATCTTACTCTACACATAGCTGCCAACATGGATTGGAAAAAAATCCAGTAGATTTTACAAAATAATATAATTTTCATGATAATTGTTGCATTATGTACAAAATATTTTACCCATAGGGAATTTTACAGATTTTTATAGTCATCAAAATAGAAAAACTGCAATTTCTTCTATGATTGACATTAAATAAATATACTTTAAATGTTATGTATCATGATTACTCATAATTTTGAACAATAATAGGCATTTAATTCATCAAAGATAATTAAAATATTTTAAAATTAATTTAAAAAGGGTGCTTTGAACAAAAATAAACTGAACATTTTAGAACAAAAAAAGTTTTAAACTGATTTCTATTAATAAGGCTTGTCGCCTTATGTATTAGTAATACTTATTTAAATATTCAAACAAGCAAAAATCTCAGCAAAAGTTCTATTTTAATAGAGATTTTTATAAAACACTAACTCAATTTCAGGGAGTTTTTTTAAATGTACAAAAACCTGAAGAATTTTTATTAAAACAATAGATCAGGAGAAACTGGCAAAAACCAGTAGTCTACTGGAAAATCCAGTAGACTTAGTAGCCATGTCTACAGCTGTACATTCACAGAATAAGTTTTTGGACAAAAGGCCAAAAAAAATTTTTTAAAAAAACATATAGGAGAAAAATATAGGACACTTTATGCTACAAGGCCTGTGACTAAAACTACAAGGCCTGTGGAAGTGCCTACGACAACTGTTTATAAAGCTGTGACTGTTACCTTAGGGTACCGGAAATTGCATGCAGGATGCGTTTCAAAAATAATAACGGAAAGACACAAAAAGAAAAGGATGAACTACCCACTTGATTTCTTCACACATTATGCAAAAACAGGTGATGAGTTTCTTAATCACATTGTTACTGGTGATGAGATATTGGTTTATCACCACATACTATAATCTAAACAACAATCAATGCTATGGCACTATATGAATTTCCCTAAAGCCAGAACTTCAACATTAGAAAACAAGAACAAAAAACATAATGGCTTTACAGACAAGACATTCTTCTGGTTGTTCTCCATACCAACCGGCATTACAATTAACGCAGGTGCATATTGCGAGACTATGAAACCTTTCAAATGAGCAATTTAAAACATACAGCTTTCAAAAGAGCAATTTAGAACAAACAGCTTTCAGACGAGCAATTTAAAACTAACAGCTTTCAAAACTGAAGTTGAAATGTGTTTCTGACGACAGACTGCTAAGCTGTATGATTGTGGAATACAAAAAAGTTTACCTTAACAAATGTTTTTAAAATGTCCGCAACTATGTCAATAAAAAAAAAAGCATGTACCAGTAAGTAATGTGTAATTTACATTTAATCAATTAAAAAAATTTCAAGTGAATATGCAGCATTGTATCTTTACTTTGAGAAAAACGCCTTGTAAATCCGTCGAAAAAAGGTAAGAAAGTATATTTTTTTGTCTGGTTTTATAGGTAAAAACATCATCTACCCCAACTAATTATCAGATTTAAGGTCACTCCTTTAAGCTATTAAGATTGTGAAGCGAAAATCCGATAATTAGATCATAAGTCATTCACAGTGCTTTGGTTTTTTTGCACACTATACGTAGGAACCTTTCAAATATAATTTATTCACCTTCATAGGGGGTGGCTGTTGTCGAAAAGCTGCAGGCTGAGGACGATCTTGCAGAGGTTTGCTGCGACCAGCTTGCAGTTGTTGGGTAGAAGCACTGGCTGTTAAAGACGATGGTAATGCTTGTTCTGGAATTTCACTCTGCCATTCAGTCTTCTGCTTTTCAAAAAACCTGAAATACAAGTTAAGAAATTTCATAAAACATTAAAAATTAAATGCAACATTTTCAGTTATTTCTACCTTCTAAATATCATAAAAAATCTGAATAACATATCATCTTAAAAGAAAACTACCAACAAAGGTTCCCATTTGGCTTGCATGTAAATTTAGAGCATTTTTAGGGAAGTGTCAAGACTATTTTTCAGTTTTTAAGGTCATTTAAATTATGCAGGGGTGATTGTGAGCCCAATTAACTCAGAAATCCTGAAAATTCCTGGAGGAAAATCATTAATAATGCATTTCAAAAAAATTTTTTTTTATAAATTGATATATCATTGATATTTCAAAACATGAAATTCTAAATAAATTATATGCAGCCTAATTTAAATGAATAAGTATGTATAAGTTTACTTTTCTCTCTAATCACATTTATTATTCTACCGTAAAAAATATTTATAAATGAAAGAGATGCCAAGTATAAACTTAGTTCTAATATTTTTAAATAAAATATACAAGAGTTTTTATACATAAATGTGATCGGTGATATCCTAAAACTTCTGGATCTTGGATTTCCAGAAACTTCCGGATTGTAATTAGCAAAAAATCCAGAAATATGGATTTTTTCAGGAGCACAATCATCGCTGATTATGTCATTCACATTTTAGAAACAAAAATTTTAAAATCTATATTTTCTTTTTTTAATAAATAATAAAAGATGTAGTTCAAATAATCAATAAAAAGGCTTTTTTTTATAAAAAAGAACGAAAAAAAAGGAAAGAAACTGATGTTTTGAACTTTCATTGAATGAAGTGAAATTTTATTTTCCATGACTAATTCCAAGAATTTTTCGCGACTTCACGAAGTTACTATTTTCTCTGACAAAAACACAACAATAAATTTAAAAAAGCATTATAATAACATTAATTGAGATGATAGGTATAATCAAAACTATTATACTCTGCATCTTCATAGATTTTAAATTTAAAAAACAGTAAAGAAAGAGTTGAAGCAATAAAATAGCTGAAAAAAATACAAAAGCAATTTTTTTTCTTTTTTTTTCTGAAGAATTATATTTTAAAGATACTTTTCTTGTTCATCGGAAAGGTAAGAAATACTCCTGATTGTTTTGTTCTCATTTCAGAATTAAAAAAAATTCGCCAATGACTGGCTTGCTTCGGCTGAAATTTTAAATTGATAAAATAAAATAAATAACAACAAAAATTGTGAAATCACACAAGTTTAAACGATAATTAGCTCTAGAAGTGATGTTTTTTCTTTCATTTTTTGAAGAAAAAAAAACACCATAATTTTTAAAACACATGATAAAAACATTTTATATATTAATAATATGACCCTGAGTGGGGATTTTGTTACAAATTCAGATATCTGAAGAACCATAAATTTGGGGTTGGAAAAAATTCCATTTTAAAAATTAGATTTTTCGGCGACCTAAATCCATGATTTAAAAAAAAAAAAATTGCTAAAATCATGGCATTTTATGACAAATTTTGTTCAATACCGAGATTCAATACTTTCCAGGTTTGCAGAGATCCTGTATTTTGTTTATGCATATATTACATTTATACTATTATCAAAAAGAAAATTAAATTATCACCAAATGGGAATTACGCACTCTGGTTTGAAATTTTCATCTTCCTCGTGTAATTCGAGTAATTTAGAGAGACCAATTTCATGCCTCAGAGAATCGACGATTTCTTTGACAGGCTTGTATTCATGATGAAGTTGCTTAGCATTTTCCAAATGCTTGTTACGATCTTCTTCTGATTGTTTAATGACATTCTCCATCTAGGGATTTCATTAAAGAACCATTAAATTAAAAATCACATGAGAAATCACAAGTTAATTTTTTAAAAGCAATTCTAAATTGTTTTAATCACATTTTTATCCAATGACATACCTGCCAAAATTAAAGAAATAAAATAACAGAGATTTTACGAGAGACATTTTTTAGGCTACAAGTAAAGTTTTGATACATCATGCATAATCATGTAAGTCAAAAAGAGAAATTAAAAATTGGAAATAATGTAAAGACTTACACTTAAGGAAGTAAAAAATATGTATGCACAATTAAAGTAAAATAATATGAGAAATAACAAGTTATATTTTACAGCAATTCTAAATTGTTTTAATGTCACTTTTGTTTAACGACATACCTGCCAACATAAGAGAAATAAAATAACAAAGATTTTACTAGAGACATTTTTAGGCTATGAGTAAAGTTGTTCATTTTGTTAAGGGTTCGTTTTTATAAAAAGATATTTTGTGAAGGGTCTGTTAACGGACCCAAATTTCTTCTAAACAGACCCTTGTATGTATATATATATACAGTGAAACCTGTGTATAACGATACTGTCTATAGCGATATTTCCTTGAGGTCCCGTTAAATTCCTATTTACTCAATGTATTTTTAACCTGTTTATAGCGATAACCACTTTTCAGTTAAACATGTCTACAACGATAATTTTTCCTCTTTTGATAGTTGATAGTTCTATTCCGATTTGGAAAACGACTCCCCATCGAGCCTAAATGTGAGATAACAAAATGTTTTTTTTTCTTTTTTTTCCATCTCCTTTGTATGAAATATTCTTTCGTTGTTTCTGAGAAAAAAAGCCACTTTTAGGGGAAATTAGAGCAGTAGAAATGGGTGAAGGGGTATTGTAGGAGGGAAAGAGCTTCGTCAGAAAAACGGGTGACACCCGAATTTCACCTGAGAATGCNACAGGACTCAAATTTCACCCGAGAATGCCATATTGCTAATTAACACTTTGCAAGATTTTGTTGCAACATTACCAAATATAACTGATGTTCATTTGAATTCATTAGATGGACTGAAATCTATGTGCATGGAAATGGCAACTGCTTCCAAAAATAAGCAAACAAAACTAACCGATTATTTTTCTAAATAATCTCTGTTTTGATTCATAAAATTGTAAGTAAATTTTCCTTGTGTGCTGTTTCATAATTCTAAGTTAAATTTTCATTTGGAGCCTATAAAAGAAATTTAATTTATCATTAGTTTTAAACGTATACTTTTAAATTTCAAACCTGTCTATAACGATAACCTGCCTATAACAATATTTTATTTAGGTCCCTACAGTATCGTTATAGACAGGTTTTACTGTATATATAAATAATGACAGAAGAGTAGAAAATGACCTTTAAAATCTACAAATTTCATCCTTGATGAACAAATATTTTTAATACAATTGCATTGTTCCATTTCACTCTATAAGTTTTGTGGAAAATCATTCTAACAATTGAATGAAATTGAAAGAATTATGAAGGCAATTACATTGTTTCCTTTCAAAATACAATTTCTAACAAGAATAATATGAGATTGCCTTACCACATTAATGTCAGCATGAATTTGTCGTAATTCTTCAACATGAGCCATTTTTTCCTGTAGAAGCAATTCCATTTCATGACGATATTCCATCAAACATTTCTCTTCACTTTCAGTCGCTTCAATTTCTTGCCTCAATCGAGATTTCAGTTTTTCCATTTGAATAGTCCGAGTTCTGTGAATGGAGATTTTAATTTTAAGGAATATTTTCGATATTCAGAACTTAACTTGTTCAAAATGAATTATGCTTTAAAATAATGTACAGAAAAGTTAGATCTCCTAAGTAAGTGGAATAAAACAATGCTTTGAGCTTCAATAAAATGAAACCATTTGATATTTAATCAGGAGCTAATCCAGATTTAACTTAATACCTGCTTTTGAGAAAAATTTTAGCAACATATTTGAGTGAAAAATCTTAGAGTATCATAATTTTCTGTAAAATATCTTTAAAAAGGTTAGGTTAATTATGTTAAACATGCAAACATTACTTATGTTGCTAAGCTTAACCAGTGTGACCACTGTTAATAACAAAATCAAATTCTTTGTTATTTCCAGAGTAAAGTTTTTCGAATTGTTCAAATTTAAATTAACATTTCCAAAGTAATTTAAATGTTTACATATAGATGAAGAATTTATATCTAACTGCAGTAGAAAACAAATTTAAATTAAATTATCAATTTTTTGAGCAAAACTGTTTTATAAATTTCAAGAGTAAAATTGTCATATTTATGATTTTTATTGAAATTTTTCATTATTAATTTTACCACAAGATAAGCATTGATTTTCAAAAATGATAATTATCTGAATGTATTAAGATCAGGGTTCGCCAAGTGGGCCCACTTTGAAAAAACACGCCCGGGTTTTATTGGGTGGGCCCACCTTGAAAAAACCCACTTGGAACGATAAGTGGGTTTTTTCAAAAAAAAATTTTTTTTTTTTTTACTAAAACTTATTGTTTCGCATTTACTTTTATATAATTTATTGTGCAGCATAAATTTGTCAAATAGAGTTGCATGATTTATATGATTAAGTTTTTAATATTAGTAAAGTAAAAGAAACTCGAATCTTCATATAGTTTTATAGTAGGTACTATTGAAAACTTTAAGTTGGATTTTTCAAAAAGTAATATTTTAATGATATTAAATCAAATAATAATTTAAATAATATAGTCTGAAAAGATCAATTTTTCAAATATAGTTGTATGCTTTATATATTAATAAACAAGTTATTATTATTAATTCATATGTTAAAAAAAATTGAAAAGAAACAATTTTTTTCTTTTTTTACCAAGTGATACATTAACAAATTTAAACAGTTTTATTTTCTAGCTTAAGAAAAAAAAAAGCTAAAACTTTTTATAGGAGAACTTTTTAAAATTATTTATCTAAAAATGAAATCCTTTTCTAGGGTTAATTATTTGAAAACAAATGGGACAAGTAACTGATACTCTTTATAATTATACGTAGTTTTAATTTCACTTTCTATTAATCTTATTATAGAAACATGTAAGACCATTAAATATTTATTTCAGTTTTTTATTTAACTCAAGTCAGATGAAATTTTAGTTTTTACTGATTATAAATATTTACAGATTATAATTTTATAATGGGTAATATCCATATGTTTAATAAATATAGTAAATAAATGTGTGTGAAAACAAAAAGATTAATAAACTTGTTCCTTTTATATTACTGCATTTATATTTTATAATTCTTGAGTTAAAAAATTATGAAACGTAATGTACTTAAAAATAAAGAAGATTCAAATATGTATTAGTGATAATGCGTTATTTAAACTTAATATAAAATACATATAACCAGGGTTCCCCAAGTGGGCCCACTTTGAAAAAACCCACTTGGTGGTTTTTTTCACAAATTGTTTTTTTTAAATTTGGTTCAAAAAGAAGTATCTCCTAATACTATCATTGGACACATCGTTGAAGTTAACAAATATTTTAGAAATGTGCATCAAGCACATGGATGGGCAAATGAAAAAAACTGCTTGATGACCCAATGACACTAGGTGGAATTCATATTATGAGCACGTAAAAACTTTTGCCAATAATTACCATAAATATGAAGAGATTGTTCTTGAACATCAAAATGAATCTAATAATAATATGTCAAAAATATTAAATAATGTTGGGCTTTACCAATAAACTATCAATTGGGAAAAACAGATATCAATTGTTTCTTAAGCTTTAAAAAAGCTTCAATCAGAAAACATTTCAATTTCAGAAGCTGTTGAAATATGAATTAACTTACTATCGTGTGATGAATTAGAACCCCATAAACATTTTGTAAAAAGATTCAATCAGGCTGTTCAGCCACATCATTTATTAGCATATGCATCCTGGATCCCGAAACAAGGGGACAATTTTTAAATGATGAACAAGACCAATTAGCAGAAAGCTGTCTTTCTAAGCATCATCCAGAATTTCTGCCACGTGTTATGGCATCCAAAATTTCCGATCCTGAATACTTTCCAAAATCAATGATGCTTGACACTGTTATTGAACAGTTTTCATCAAAAAATAGTGGAAAATTATGGCAAAAAAAATAAATAAATAAGTAAATAAATAAAATTCCTAGCTTCCACAAAATTTCTGTCAATTCTTTTTTCTTTGCACTCAGCACCAGCATCCTCTGTCTCTATCGAAAGACACTTTTCAACTTTCGGTTTGGTGCAGAGTAAACTTCGAAATAGATTAGGAATAGATAAAGCTACAAAACTCGTAAAAGTGTATTGCCATCTAAGAGAGAAATGTAGACACTTTGAATCTGTTGTATGATAATAATAATAAAGGAAAAAATTGACCTTTTTTTTAAGTTAACTCTTAACATCTGCTGACAATTTTTAACTATTTGGAGAAAGTTTATCACAATTAAAAAACAGTTAAAAATTAAAATATTACTTTTAAGATTTTTTAAATATTTTTAAGATTTCATTTGAATACAATTTATTTTGTTTCTTTTAATCATGTTTAAAAATATTGAAAGCAAACAAAAAAAAATTTATTAAGTGATACATTAAACAACAATAAACAAATTTAAAGTTTTATTATCTGATTTTAAAAAAATGAGCTATAACTTTTTATATATGCTTTTTTATAATTTTAAGATTAATTTGTTTTTTGAAACTATAAAGTTAAAATGCATATATTTATCTAAATATTTGAAAAAAGGGACAAGTAACTGATACTCTTTATAATTATACATAATTTTAATTTCACTTTCTATTAATCGTATTATAAAAACATGGAAGACCATTAAATATTTATTCCAGTTTAATTTTATTACAGGTAAAAGTCAGATGAAATTTTAGTGTTTACTTATACAACACTATTTAATAAATAAAAATATTTTCACAGTAAAATTTATGAGCACTAAATGAAAAAACCCAATTTTCCCCGGGTTTTTTCAAATAAAACCCAATTTTCCCCGGGTTTTTTCAATAAAACCCAGGCGGGTTGGGTTTTTTCAAAAATCCCCGGGTTTTTTCAAACCCTGATTAAGATGTTAAGAAAACTGAAATTATTAGTTTTATTTTAAAATGAATTATTTATTCAAATAGTACTACTGATGACAAGAAAAGTAACAGCACAGTTAGATGAGTTTTAAAAGATAAAATAAGTTTGATAAAAGAGCCTATTAATTAATAGACTAAAATCACTAAACTTAATTGCTGTTGTCGTAGGCCATTAAGGCATGGGTGTGATTGTTCTTGTTTTTCTGGGGGTATCATCTTTGGTCAAGAATTAGACTTTAGCCACACTCATTTGTAGAGCGGACCCATTCATTTATCCACAGATCCTAATCTTGACATGAACCAGAAAACAATTAATTTCCAATTCAAAACCTCCAGAGGTATAATTTGTTAAGGGAACATGGAGGACTCTGAGTCTCGACAAATTTAATGTGCACCAGACCGACTAGAACTTAATGGTAATAGAATAAATAAGTATGACCAACATTAATACTGTTAATGTTGATATTCAAAACATTCCATAGTTGAAGGCATATTTCTCTAGAAATCCAGAATACTCTAAGAATTCCAGTTCTTCACAGTTTTAAGAGTGAGTGGCCAACCTCTTCACTGAACAAAACAATTTTCCGAAAAGCCACCTAATTGAAATCTGCCACTTTTCGGAAGGATCTGTCATGCAACTAGATTTATGTTATAGTTCTTGTTTAATAATATCAGAGTTAAACGTCAAACGCGCAAATCAACTGTTGTAAACATTATCGTAAAACAACGAAAAAGTCCAAAAAAGAGCATAAAAAGAACATTACTTATATGATAGAACACAGTTAAATTTGACATGGCATATATTTTTTTGATAAATATATAAAGCTAAGCTTAAAAAATGATGAATATATCAACTAATTTTTATGCTGTGGATATAAATAATTGGAAAAAAATTCACAAACTACATGTTAGCTGATTATTAAGCAATGAGTAAAATTCAACATAACACAACGGTTTATCGTTGATGTACCTAATTTCTTTAAGACACTCAAGTTTACCCATGACAGTCGCGTCTTCGTCCATCTTCATTTTTTTAGAAAAAGGACAGTGTTGCGCTGTATTTATGATTTACAACTCAGAATATTCAGCTTGTAGCTTTTGATAAGCCAATCGAATTTTTTATTTCAAAGAACTTGCGATCGCAGCGCACAACGCAATCAAGTACGCCATCTAGGAAAAAGACTGGTTCCATGTCCAAAACTTCCCTCTTCTCCTCAGCTGAGTTTGCGGATTTAGGCTCAGATGTATGGGAATAGCTAAGTACCATAACCTTATGAAAATTTTTCCAAACACTTTGAACGGAAACATTAATTTGAATCTTTTGCATCCAATCGTGGTTGCACAATCAATGGCAACTGATAAAGAACTGACTTTGTTTTTTCCCCAATGTTTTACACAGCATTTATTAATTTACTTTTGCAAACAAAATCAGTTCTCAACTCTTGAAGGACAGTTCTTTCTTACGTAAAAAAACGAAAATTTTAAAAAATTTATCTAAAAACAAGGCTAACCATGAAAATTTATGATTACGTATTTTTCTACTGGCTATTTTTTGCAGAATTAACAGTTAATAACTAAATTATGTTATTAAAAATAAACATATTTTTGAACCTTTAGTACTTTTAGCATTGTAAACACAAGTATTGTTAGCATTGTAAACACAAGTAATAAGTAATCAAATACTACGTTTGCAAAAATCTCAAAACACAATGATCACGATGTGAGCCAAATGACTTTCAAATACAACGGAGACAGTAACCCGGAAGAATAGGCGGTATGGAGCTTGCAGCGCTCCTTAGTGTAGAAAACACCATCCATAGAGGATTAGTGTTTTTAACTGAAAAAAAGGCGAAAGTATGGGAAGCAGTTTAGTGGTCCTCAAGATGCTTCGAGAGGAAAATGATGCCTTGGTACGTTTACGAGGAAATTCAACTTGTTACACTTGTTCAAACCAATTTTCTTCCCTGCTCTAGTTTTGTATTTCAGATCTCAGCTGTTCGCCTACTACGTAGGTGGTCGTCTGTTAAAAAGCATCACACAGTTCCCAACAGATCACCAAGTCATCACTGGCTGCGGTTAGAGTGCGGGTGGGTGACCACTTGGATTAGTCTGCGTAGAGATCGAGGGTGTGTGGTATCGGTGTCCTCGTTAATATAACTTTCGATATTTTTGCGTAAATAAAGTGTTCTGTATATAAAAATAACTAATTTTTTTTTTAGGGAATGGTGAATAATAACTAATAAGCGGATAAATTTCGGATCATTTTTGCTTATATATTTATTTTATTTTATATTGTTTTTTCAACTTCATTTTCAATATTTTAAAGTGAATAAAATGTTCTATATATGAAACGAATTATTTTTCTTTGTTAAAGAGCGAATAATGGCTGAAAAAGGGAAAAAAGTCGTATTAGGAGGAACGCACACATCACATCCTGTAACTCCCTATAATATTAACCTATAAATTTCAAACTTGGCACGAAATTCAAGTTTAATGTAGCAAACAATTGTACCAAAGGAATTTTTTAAAGACCAATTAGTGGCCCCACATTGGGCCAAAAGAAGTTTTGTTGACTAAAGCTCAGGTGATGTTTTTAATCTAGATATTCGCGGGATGGCATGTGAAGCGTGGCGCAGTTGGTAGCGCTGTGGGCAAGGTTGCTTTGTAGTCCCGGAGGTCCAGGGTTCGAAATTCTGCGAATGTCGACTTTAAATTTCTTTTATTCATTTTATATTAATTTTTTTAATATACTTTTCGACATTTTAACGTGAATCAAGTGTTCTGTTTATAGAAATAACTTTTTTTCTTTTGGGAAATAACGAATAATAGCTAATAAAGGGATAAATTTTATTTATTTATTTATTTTACTTTATGTTATCTTTTTAACCTTTTTTTCATTATTTTTAAGTGAAACAAGTGTTCTATATATGAAAAGAAATATTTTTTGTCGTTAAAGAGCGAATAATGGATTAAAAGGGGACAAAAGTCGTATCAGGAGGCACCCTCACATCACACCCTGCAACTCCCTATAATATTAACCTATAAATTTCAAACTCGGCACAAAATTAAAGTTTAATGTAACAAACAATTGTACCAAAGGAATTTTTTATAGACCAATTAGTGGGCCCGCAATGGGCCAAAATAAGTTTTGTTGACTAAACCTCAGGTGATGTTTTTAATCTAAATAATCGCGGGGCTGGCATGTGAAGCGTGGCGCAGTTAGTAGCGCTGCGGGTAAGTTAGATACGTAGTCTCGGAGGCTCTGGGTACGAAACCCTACGAGGGTCGACTTTCAAATTCCTTTATATTATTTTTTAGATATATTTTTTTAAATATATTTTTCGATATTTCAGCGTAAATAAAGTGTTCTGTGTAAAAAAATAAAAAAATTTTCTTTAGGAAATAGCGAATAATATCTGATTAACGGATAAATTTCGAATAATTTCTACTCATTTATTAATTTTATTTCATATTATTTTATTTAATTCTTTTCCAGTATTTTAAAGTGAATAAAGTGTTCTATATATGAAAAGAATTTTTTTTCTTTCTTAAAGAGCGAATACTGGCTGAAAAAGGGACAAAAGTCGTATCAGGAGACACGCACACATCACACCCCGTAACGCCCTATACTATTAACCTATAAATTTCAATCTCGGCAAGAAATTAGAGTTTAATGTAATAAACAATTGAACCGAAGGAATTTTTTATAGACCAATTAGTGGGCCGATAATGGGCCAAAATAAGTTTTGTTGATTAAATCTCAGGTGATGTTTTTAATCTAAATAATCGCGGGGCTGGCATGTGAAGCGTGGCGCAGTTGGTAGCGCTGCGTGTAAGTTAGATATGTAGTCTCGGAGAATCTGGGTACGAAACCCTCTGAGGGTCGACTGTCAAATTCTTTTATATAATTTTTTTTTTTATATTTTTTTAAATATATTTCTCGATATTTCAGTGTAAATAAAGTGTTCTGTGTATAAAAGTAAAAATTTTTTCTTTAGGAAATAGCGAATAATATCTAATTAACGGATAAATTTCGAATAATTTTTACTTATTTATTTATTTTATTTTATATTATTTTATTTACTTCTTTTTCAGTATTTTAAAGTGAATAAAGTGTTCTATATATGAAAAGAATTATTTTTCTTTGTTAAAGAGCGAATAATGACTAAAAAAGGGACAAAAGTCGTATCAGGAGGCACGCACATATCACACTCCGTAACTCCCTATAATATTAACCTATAAATTTCAAACTCGACATGAATTTAGAGTTTAATGTAACAAATAATTATGAAAAAGGAATTTTTTATTGACCAATTAGTGGGCACACAATGGGCCAAAAAAGTTTTTTTGACTAACCGACAGGAGGAGTTTTAAGCTAAATATTCGCAGGCCTGGTATGTGAAGCGTGGCGCATTTGGTATCGTTGCAGGCAAGACTAATATGTAGTCCCGATGGCCCTGGGTTCGAAACCCTGCGAGTGTCGACTTTCAATTTCTTATATATTATTCTTTTAAAATATTTTTCAACAATTTAACGTGAATCAAGTGTTCTGTATATAGAAATAACTATTTTTCCTTTGGGAAATAGCGAATAATAGTTAATAAATGGATAAATATTGGATAATTTTTATTTATTTATTTATTTTATTTTATATTGTTTTTTTAACTTCTTTTTCAATATTTTAAAGTGAATAAAATGTTCTATATATGAAAAGAATTATTTTTCTTTGATACAGAGCGAATAATGGCCGAAAACGGGAATAAAGTCGTATCAGGAGGAACGCCCACATAACACCCCGTAACTCTCTATAATATTAACCTATAAATTTCAAACTCGGCAAGAAATTAGAGTTTAATGTAACAAACAATTATATCAGAGGAATTTTTTATAGACCAATTAGTGGGCCAACAATGGGCCAAAGAAAATTTTGTTGACTCACCCGGAGGAGGTGTTTTAAGCTAAATATTCGCCGGGGTGGCATGTGAAGCGTGGCGCAGTTGTTAGCGCTGTGGGTAAGTTAGATACGTAGTCCCAGAGGTCCTGGGTTCGAAACCCTGCAAGGTTCGACTTTAAATTTTTTAAATTTATTTTATATTATGTTTTTCAGGATACTTTTCAACAATTTAACATGAATCAAGTGTTCTGTAAGTAGAAATAACTATTTTTCTTTTGGGAAATAACGAATAATAGCTAATAAACGGATAAATTTAGGATAATTTTTATTTATTTATTTATTTTATTTTATGTTATTTTAACTTCTTTTTCAATATTTTTAAGTGAATTAAGTGCTCTATATAGGAAAAGAATTATTTTTCATTGTTAAGGAGCGAATAATGGCTGAAAAAGGGACAAAAGTCGTATCTGGGTGCACGCACACATCACACCCCGTTACTCCCTATAATATTGACCTATAAATTTCAAACTCGGCAAGAAATTAGAGGTTAATGTAACAAACTATTGTACCAAAAGAATTTTTTATAGACCAATTAGTGAGCCCATAATGGGCCAAAATAAATTTCGGTGACTTAACCGGAGGTGATGTTTTTAATCTAAATATTCACGGGGCTGGCATGTGAAGCGTGGCACAGTTGGTAGCGCTGTGGGCAAGTTTGATATGTAGTCCCGGAGGCTCTGGGTACGAAACATTGCGATGGTCGACTTTCTAATTTTTTTTATAATATTTTTTTTAAAATATATTTTTCGATATTTTTGTAATTAAACGTTCTGTATATAAAAATAGCTATTTTTTCTTTAGGAAAAAAGCGAATAATAGCTAATAAACGGATAAATTTTGGATAATTTTTATTTATTTATTTATTTTATTTTATGTTTTATTTTTAACTTCTTTTTCAATATTTTAAAGTGAATAAAGTGTTCTATATATGAAAAGAATTATTTTACTTTGTTAAAGAGCGAATAATGGCTGAAAAAGGGAAAAAAGTCGTATCAGGAAGAACGCACACATTCTTTCAAATTCTTTTATATTATTTCTTTAAATATATTTTTTTAAATATATTTTTCGATATTTCAGCGTAAATAAAGTGTTCTGTGTATAAAAATAAAAATTTTTTCTTTAGGAAATAGCGAATAATATCTAATTAACGGATAAATTTCGAATAATTTTTAC